AATGTGTGGTTGCCTCTCACACACCCCCAACTGGGTTTTTGGCCTGCACCCAGGCATGTGCCCTGACCAGGAATTGAACCGGCAATTGAACTGGCAATGCTTTGGCTCACAAGCCAACACTCAGTCCACTGAGCCATACCAGCCAGGGCCATCCAGGCTGGGCTCTTTTTCCTATCTTCTTAAAGAAGGCCCTTTAACATTTCTTGCAATACCAGTTTGGTGATAATGAACTCCTTTAGCTTTTCTTTCTTTCTTTTGTCCCAGGAAGCTCTTTATTTTGCCTTCAATTTTCAATGATAGGCCTGCTGGATAGAGTAGTCTTGGTTGTAGGTCCTTGCTGTTCATCATGTTGAATGTTTCATGCCATTCCCTGCTGGTCTGAAGTGTTTCTGTTCAGAAATCAGCTGATAGTCATATGGAAGCTCACCTGTTGGTAACTCTTTCTTTCTTGCTGTTTTTAAGATTCCCTTTTTGTCTTTAACCTTTGCCATTTTTTTTAAGATTTTATTTATTTTCAGAGAGGGAAGGGAGGGAGAAAGAGAGAGAGAGAGAGAGAGAGAAACATCAATGTGCGGTTGCTGGGGGCCATGGCCTGCAACCCAGGCATGTGCCCTGACTGGGATTCGAACCTGCGACACTTTGGTTTGCAGCCCGCGCTCAATCCAGTGAGCTACGCCAGCCAGGGTAACCTTTGCCATTTTAATTATGTGTCTTAGTGTGGACCTCTTTTGATTCATCTTGATTGGGACTCCTTGTCCTTCCTGGACTTATGTGTCTTTTTCCTTCACCAGCTTAGCATCCCTGTCATATTTTAATCCATCCCCAAGCAACCACGTATCAATTTTTTATTGCTATAGATTAGGGTTTTTTTTTTTACTTAATGGAATAAAAAAATGTATTCGTTTTTATTCTGATTTGTTTCACTTGGCATTAATATTTTGAGATTCATCCTTGTATCAGTAGTTTCCTTCTGTTCCTTTGTGTTTCATTATATGAATATTGATTCTTTCTGTAGCATTTATTAATTCAGCCATTGATGGGCAATTGTGTTGTTTCCATCTTTTCGCTGTTACAAATAAAGCTGTGAACACTCATGTTCAAGCCTATATTTACATGTATTTTTCCTTATCTTGGGTAAATCCCTAGAAGTTGAATTAATAAATCACATGGTAGGTGTATGTTTAACATTTTTTAAAGATTTTGTTTATTTATTTTCAGAGAGAGGACAAAAAGAAAGAGAAAGAAAAGGAGAGAAACATCACTGTGCAAGAGAAATGTCAGTTGGTTGCCTCTCACATGCCCTCAACAAGGGACCTGGCCCACAATCCAGGCTTGTGCTCTGACTGGGACTCAAACCTGTGATCTTTTGGTTCACAAGCTAACACTCAATCCACTGAGCCACACCAGCCAGGGCTTAACTTTTTAAGAAACTGTTCCATCATTCCTTGAGCTGGTTATATTTTATATTCCCAGGAGGATCCGACAGTTGTTCCATGTGTCCATGTCCTTGCCAATGCTTAGTATTTTTATTCTTTTCAATTTTAGGCATTCTAATAGGTGTGTAGCAATATCTTATGCTTTTAGTTTACATTTACCTAATGACAGCTAACAATGTTGAACATCTTTTTTTCTTCATTATTTGCTATTCATATACTGCTTGTTATGATTTAAATCTTTTGCAATTTTCTATTGTGTAGATTGTTGATTGTTGAGAATTTTTGTATATGTTTGGGTATAAGTCCTTCCTTTATTAGTCATGTGCTTTGCAAAGATTTTCACTTAGTCTTTAACTTGCCTTTCAGTGTTCTCTTAACAATGTGTTTGTTAACAGTGGATTAACAAATCCAATGTGTTCTCTTAACAATGTGTTCACATTGGATTTAGTTTTTATGAAGTCCAATGTGTGAGCATTTTTTATGTTATTCTTTTGTTGTCATAACTAAGAAGTCTTTGCCTAACTACAAGATCAGACTTCTATTTTTTTTTTCTTCTAGAAGTTTTAGAATTTCTTTTAGGTTTTTCATTTAGGTTTATTATTTATTTTGAGTTACATATATAGTACAATGTATGGGTCTATGTTATTTTTTCTTTCTTTAAATTTTTCAATTACAGTTGATAGTCAATATTTTATTAGTTTCAGGTGTCTTTTTTGTATGTTTTGGGGTGTTTTTTTTGCATATGTGCTTATACTTGTTCCAGCAATATTTGCTAAAAAGGCTTTTTTTCCTGCCCACTGTATTGCCTTTAACCTTTGTATAATGTCACTTAACAAATTATGTGAGGGTCTTATTTTGGAGTCTATTCTTTTCATTTTATTTGTCTAACTTGACATAAAACAGTCCCTATCTTGACTACTGTAGCTCAATAAAAATTCTCATTAGGTAGAGTCAACCTACTGACCTTATTCTTTTTCACAGTTGTTTTGGCTACTCTACACCTATTATATTTCTGAATTTAAAAATGATGCTTTCAATTTCTACAGAAAAACCAGGTTCTGATATGAGCAAGGTATAGTTATTTATTTACTAAAATCTTTTAAAATTTCTCGGTGATACAGTTTTCATATGGTCTTTTACATTTTTATAATATTTTTTTGTTTCATTTTTTGATGGTATTATAAACAATATTATATTTTTTAAAATGAAATGGCCTTATAATATCTCTGTATGGTTGAGGGGGGGATACTTGAATTCGCCATGACCAGTGTTGTTTATTTGGTTGGAGCATCATCCCTGAAGATCATGAAGGACTGAAGGATCACAGTTTCAATCCCTGGTCAGGGCACATGCCTGGGTTGCAGGTTTTTCTCTCACATCCATGTTTCTCGCCCTCTGGGGGATCACTTTGTAAATTTTATAATTTAACCACTTTGATGTACACATGAAACTAATATAAAAAGAATATTTAATGTCAACTGTAATTGAAAAAGAAAATAAAAGTAAATGGGCTCATAAAATGGGTTAGGGAATATACGCTCCTCTTCAATTTTATTCCCAAATGATCCACTGGATATATACAGTGTGTTTTGTTTTTCAAATCTCAGTTATTGGAATTGTTTGCAGCCTCAGACTTATGAATAATGTTGCTTTGTACATCTAGTACAAACTGGATATATTTTGCTTTCTGTTTGTTAAATTCCATTGAGTGGCATGGCTAGTTCATAAGATAAGTGTATGTGTGACATTTTGCAAAGTTTCCAAGAACCTGTACTAGTTTATATTTTCACTGTCATTGTATCAGAGTTCCAGTTTCTCCCCATTCTTATCAACATTTGCAATTGTTAGTTTTGTTGATACAGTAATTCCAGTTGGTATGTAGTAGAAATTCTTTATCATCTTAATTTTCCTAATAACAAATGTCAATCATTTTTTCATGTGCTTATAGACATTCATTTGTCATCTTTAGTATAATGTTTATTCAAGTCTTTTCTCAGTTTGTAAATGCATTGTTTGTTTTCTTAAATTATTTTTGAAGTTATTTATTTATTTATTTTTTAAATTTTATTTTAATTATTGTTCAAGTACAATTTTATACCTTTTACTCCCATCCTGGCCCACCCACCCAGCCCTCCCCACCTCCCTCCCATTTCCACCCATCCCTAGTTTTTGTCTGTGTGTCCTTTATACTTGTTCCTGTAAACCCTTCTCCTTTTCCCCTAAAATTTCCTCCCCTCTCCCATCTGAACACTGTCAGCCTGTTCTCTATTTCAGTGTCTTTGGTTATATTTTGCTTGTTTCTTTGTTTTGTTGATTAGGTTCCTGTTAAAGGTGAGATCATATGGTATTTGTCTTTCACCCCTTGCCTTATTTTGCTTAGCATAATGCTCTCCAGTTCCATCCATGCTGTTGGAAAGGGTAGGAGCTCCTTCTTTCTTTCTGCTGCATAATTATATATTTTGTATAGAAGTTCTTTATCAGATTATGACTTGTAAATATTTTCATCTGTAGCTCACCTTTTTTTTTGCTTGATAATGTCTTTTGATGTACAAAATTTAATATTAGTCCAATTTTTCAGTTTTCTTCCTTTATTCTAAAGAATAAAGGTGATAGGTCTAAGAATGCTTTGCCTAACCCAAGGTCATGAGAAATGTCTCCCATGTCTGTTTCCTGCAAGAATAGTATGTGTGTGTAGCTATAGATATGACTAGATTTTAGAATGATTTAATTTCACAGTAACATTGAGTGTGAAATACGTTAAGATCCCTTTTTCTCCACATGCACAACTATCCCCAGTGTCAACATCCTGCACCAGAATGGTGCATTTGTTATAATCAGTTAACATGTTGGCACATTATCACCCAAAGTACATTAGTTTGCATTAGGTTTATTAGCTCTTAGTGTTGTACAATCCATGGGTTTTAACAAGTGTATGATAATATGTATCCACTCTTTAGTATCACACAGAATAGTTTTACTGCTCTAAAAATTTTCTGCATTCTGCCCAATCATCTTCCCCCTCCCTACAACTCTTGTCAACCACTGATAATTTTTTACTGTCTCTTTAGTTTTGCATTTTCTAGAATGTCATATAGTTGGAATCATATAATCAGATAGTCTGTAGCCTTTTGATATAGGCTTCTTAAACTTAATAATATGCATTGAAAGTTTCCCTTTGTATATCCATTGCTTGATAACTCATTTCTTTTGAGTGCTGAATAATATTTTTTGTTGGAAGCTGCTATAAAAATCTATGATCAAAATAACAGAAAAAGTCTATGATCAGATTTATGTTTAGACATGAATTTTCAACTCATTTTGTTAAATACCAAGGGATGTGGTTGTTGGATCATGTAAGAGTATGTTTAACTTTGTAAGAAACTGCCAAACTGACATGTGTCTAACTATGGACATTGTTCTAGAGGGTAAAACCAGCCTCTGGGGCACTAAATTTACAAAAACTGTTGGAAATATTGTGGTCCTTTATTTAAGGTAATTATATAGTAATAGTGACAACATCTGTATCCAGAGGGAATGTCCACTTAAAGTCAGTTTGCTCCTCAGCCCACAGGTCCTGGCTCCCCAGGAGCAAGAAACACCAAGTGAAGGAATGAGGGAAGAAAGGGGAGGTTCTTCAACTTGGGTATCGTCATTTTTGGGGACAACTTTAACTGGACACCTTGATTTCTGCCTCTAAGAACTTCATGGCAGGTGCAGGAGAGACAAAAGTCAGAGAATTCATTTTACTCAATATTCCCTGAGCACAGAAGAAAATGATGGAAGTCCAGGTAATTTTTGTTTGTTTTATCTTTCCTTTGCTTTTGTACAGGTTTTTGGTGTCCTGAAAAAAAGTTAGTTCAACTAAAAAAAAGTATAAATTGTGATATTTGGGTTCTTGGAAAAATTAACTTACACTCTAAATTCGAAATCAGGGCAAAGTTAGATCAAGAAAATATTGTTCCTACAGGTTATACATATTGAAACATAATGTGTGGTGTGGTTGATTCTATGGGTCACATTAGCTGTCATTTTGCATCTAATATTGTTACAGAACAAACAAGGGGGGGCCTGGGACGATTATTATTATTATTATTATTATTATACTATTATTGAAAGAAGCCCCCAGGTCCGTTATGTCCACCGCCAGAGGAAAGACGTCTCTCAATGCCAGAGATTTGTGAAAAGGAAAGGAAATGTTTATTTAATGCTATACAAACTTAAAGTAGTGATCTAATGTCTTCATCAAAAATCCTGAAGTCCCTTAAAACACCCACAAACAGACACAGTCCTTCCTTCCTTCCCCCTTTGCCCAGTCCAGAGTACCGTATCTCAGGAAAGGAAATAGAAGACCATGGCTCAGGCAGTCCTCTGGTTCTTCCCAGTTAGTACTCCATCTCGACTGGGAGACCTCCCTGGGTTCCCGGCACCCTCAGCTGAGTCGCCAGGATCTCTGCTAAAACGAGGTGGTGGTTCCCCATTCTAAAGCTGCTGGGGTCCCCACTCTGGCAAAGGCATGTGGTCCTCTCTCCCAGGGCCACGGGAGTCCCCACTCAGCCAAAGCTGTGTGCTTCTCCCCCTGCACAATGGCTGCAAGGCGGGGGGCGGGGGGGGTCGCCACTCTGCCAAAGCCTAGTGGCGGTTCTCTGCTAAAGCCGCATGGTGATTCTCTCTTGCAGGGCTGCGGGAGTCTTCACTCTGCTAAAGCCGTGTGGTTCTCTCCTCAATGGTTGCCCCCTGTAACAATATCTCTGAGTTCTGTGAGCCGTGCTAACAAATGATTGAACCTAAAGAAAAGGTTATGGGAACCTCCAATTTGTAGTCAACTCAGACAGTGGGTTACCTGGAGGCCCACTACTTAATGACTGGTGTCTGAAGTGTGGGCAGTCTTGTGGAACCAAGCCTGTGGCATCTGCAATAACTCCAAGCAGTTTGTGCCAGAATTTCTTGGTGTGGAAAACCCACACACCTGGTCACAGAACTGTCCTGTGTGTATGAAAAGGAAAACAGAAGTTTCTACCAGAGAGGTGCCTAACAAATTACTCTAAAACTTACCAACTTCAAACATGTTCTTTATCTCAAACTTTCTGTGGGTCACTTAATACTGCCATGGTTTAACTGATTTGAGTCGTTTTTGCCCAAAATACTTCTGACACCAAATGAGAAAGTTTTGGTTCTTCTTGCCTCCAAATAAGTGGGGTCTTTTCTAATACTACTTCTCCATCTCTCTGATATGAAGCAGTTCATCAGATTACACAAATTTAAGGGCTCATACTTACAAAAATGCCCCCAATTTCAGATGTCATTTACAATTCTTGGGCCTCCAACTGACCTATTATAAATCAGGGGTTTCCACAAGCCCTTCCTCAGGTTTGGTAATTTGCTAGAACAACTCACAGAATTCAGAAAAGCATTTTAGTTACATTTACAATAGGTTTATTATAAAGGTTACAACTCAAACAGTGAAATGAAAGAGATGCAGAGAGCCAGGTTACCAAACCTATAGTTCTGGAGGTTTTACAGAGGTCTCATTTGTTGAGTATGGTTGATAAAATCATTGGCCATTAGGTTTGAATTCAGTATTCAGTTCCTCTATCCTCTATGTTGGTTTTGTGGGTGGGGCTGAATGTTCCAACCCTTTAACCAATGTCTTGTTCCTTTGGCAACCAGTCCTCTTCCAGAAGCTAAGCAACCTGTGTCCCCGTGAGTCATCTCATTAGCATACAAAAACTACTTATTACTCTGGGGATTCTAAGCATTTAGAACCTACCCTGATGTGCTCCAGAAACCAGGGACAAAGATCAACTTTATTTTTTTTTTTAATCATATCACTGTTTTGCACTTTGTTTTTAGTCTCTTAGGAGGCTGTAAGCCAGAATGGAGTTTGATCTGAAGACTCAAGTGAGGAAGGATGAATTTGTATTTTATTTATTTGGTTGTTGGCAGAATTCACTTTCAGAAGGGCTAGTCAAATGAGATCCTCATTTTCTCCTTGTCTGCCTGTGTAAACCAACATGCCACCTTGTTTCATCAAAGTCACCAAAAAATGGATTCTTGTAGCAAGATGGATGTACGTATAGCCTAATTGTAAAAGTGGCATCCTGTCACTTTTGCTGTATTCTTTGCTTTAGAAACAATTTACTAGGCCAGACCATGCTCAAATGTAAGGGACTATACAGGGCCATGAATAACTTAGTGTATAACAAGGAATTTGACTGACTTTTGTCTCTGATTTTTGGGAAGTTACCTCTAAATCCTTGGAATTACCTATGGAATGGGAGTTATTCATTCTGGGCCATTGGCATTACACTTTATAGTCTGTGCTATACAGGTGACTCAAGATGGAGGGTATTCATGCCAGAAGCCAGCCATGTGATTAGAAGGTTGTAACTGTGAGCCATTTGATATCAGTCTGAACTCCAGAAAGGGGAAGGACCTGGAGATTGAGTCCAGCCACATGGTCAATGATTCAATAAATCACACATATGTAATGAAGCCTCAATAACAACTTTGGATGCCGAAGTGTAGGTGAGCTTCCTTATTTGGCAATACTCAAGGACTGTCACGTGTAGTGGCTGGGAAGAGATAAGGCTGTCTGGCAGTTCACAAAGAGAGTCACAGGTATTAATACCAAATGGCCTTCATGTCTTGCCTTTTTGGCATAAAAAATCAGAACTTTGAAGATAATATTCTACTCTTTTCTGTGTTCTATTTCTGTTTAGGTAATCTGCCCTTTGTCTCTGGATACTTTATTTTTTTAAAGATTTTATTTATTTATTTTTAGAGAGATGGGAAGGGAGAGAGAAAGAGAGAGAAACATTGATGTACAAGAGATACATTAACCAGTTGCCTCTTGCAGACACCCAGCTGGTGACCTGGCCCTCAACCCAGGCATATGCCTTGACTGGGAATCAAACCATTGACCGTTTGGTTTGCAAGTCAGCACTCAATCCACTGAGCCACACCAATCAGGGCTGTATACGTTTAGAGTTTCCTTTTTCCTTTGGTATATTGTAGTTTCAGTCTGATGTGTCTAGGTATAGATATCCTTCCTGGAATTTGTTAGGATTTCTAAATCTGAAGTTAGGAGTATTTGATCATTACTGAAATTTTTCACAGTTAGATCTTTGAATGTTGCTTTTCCATTACTGTTTTCTATTTCAGAAACTATAAGTGGGCATATATTAAATCTTTTGATGCTATATTTGTATATATTAACTTGTTCCTTATGTTTTTCTCCTCTTCTCTCTTTGCTACATTTTCTGTTACTTCTTCAGTTATATATTTCAGTTCACTACAGTATATTATACTGTTCATCTGTCCATTAATATATGTATGTGTGTATGTTTGCTTATTGTAAGGGTTTTTTTCCTCAAATCTTCCCAATCAGCTTTAATGGTCTTTTTTGCTTTAGACATACCTTGTATAATTTCTGTTGTTTTTTACACTTACTAAAAACACTTGTCTTGTAATTTCTGGATGCAGAGTTTCATGGTAATTATTTGTCCTGATGTTATTTGTATATGATTATTTTTAGTATTTGGAAATGGGTGCTAAATTATGTAAGTAGAAAGATAGAATTTTGATCCTACCAAAATATATTTGAGAAAGATATATAGATGCAGGCTATGTGGTAAAAATTAGAATGACTTTCCTCACATATATTCCCTATTAATAAAAAGAGTTGGTATCATATTAAACAGGACTGTGTTATTACAGGAATTGCTGACATTGGAGGATGTGGCTGTGGAATTCAGTTGGGAGGAGTGGCAGCTCCTGGATGCTGCTCAGAAAGACCTGTATCGGGATGTAATGTTGGAGAACTATCACAATCTGGTTTCACTGGGTAAGGATACCTCCCTGTGTCACTTAGAGGTGCCCAGTCAGTGGACTTCATTTATTCTCTCACTTGTTAAAAGCTTTACAGTCACTGTAGTCATCTGAAGAGTCATATTTTCAGTCTTGTTTCTGGCCTCAAACTAAGAGGTATAATCTCCTCTATCTTGAAAAACAACTTTTACTTTGCATATAAGGAATTGTTTTGTCTCTAAATGTAATATTTTCCCATCTTGACATACTATACCCCAAGTCATTGTACCTAGGTCTTCTGTCATTTCTCATGAATAGGGTATCACACTACCAAACTGGATGCGCTGTCCAAGTTGGAACATGGAGAAGAACCACAGATAATAGAGGATGAAATCTATAATATAAGCTGTGCAGGTGAGTGAGAACCAGCAAGGAAGTGACCATAGCCATGCAAATCATATTCTAGTCCTTAAGAGAAGGAGTCACAACTGTAAAGATGTCTGAGGATAGCCATATATCTCCTCCACATATGTGTCTCCCCAGATGAGGACTGTTTTTCTTGTGGGTGTTTCCTATAAATATACTCATTGTCTCTTCTGTGATCTGATTGTCTTTCACCTTACATCTTTATGGAATGGTATGGTTGACAATAAAGAGCCAGCTCCCACCACATCATCTTTTAAGCACTTTTATTCTAAGACATTCTCATGAAGGAATTTGTTTTTCCTTTTTTTCTAGAAATCAAGAAAGTTGACAGTTGCCTGCAAGAGCATTCTCAAAACCAAAGGATTCAGAAGAGCATGCAACAATGCAGTGAAAGGAATGCACTTAGGAATACTGTTCATCTGAGCAAAACACATATGGCCATAATGCAAAATCATATGTTGAAATTATGTAGGAAAGCTTTTAAATCAAGGTTAAGTCTAATTAACCAGAAGAGAAGATATGAAGTAAATGCAGATGAGAAATCCTTTTTACATGGTAATTATGAACAATTGCACACTGAATTTGAAATCCCTGAAAGTGAAAAACACACCAGCGCTGAATTCCGAGTCGTTAAGCATCAGAAGACTCATAAAATAGAGAAGGCCCAAGCAAGCATTGAAGGTGAGAAAGCCTGCATCAGAAAACCTTGGTTCATTTATCATGAGGGCATTCATACAGAAGAGAAAACCCATGGATGTGATCCATGGGGGAAATCCTTCAGAAATGTCATGCTCACTAAACATCAGAAAACTCAATCACAAGACAAACTTTATATAACCAATGAATACAGAAGGGACTCTTATGTGAAGGGTAGTCTCACCAGACATCAGCAAACCCATTCAGGAGAGAAATACTATGTATGCAGTGACTGTGGGAAAGGCTTCACTGTGAAGCGCTATCTAATTGCACATCAGCGAACTCATAGTGGAGAGAAACCTTATGTGTGCAGTGAATGTGGGAAAGGCTTCACCGTGAAGAGTAATCTCATTGTGCATCAGCGTACTCATACAGGGGAGAAACCCTATATATGCAGTGAGTGTGGGAAGGGTTTCACCATGAAACGCTATCTTGTTGTACATGAGCGAACTCACACTGGAGAGAAACCCTATTTATGTGATGAATGTGGAAAATGCTTCGCTGTGAAGGGTAATCTCATCGTTCATCAGCGATCTCATGCAGGGGAAAAATCTTATATATGTAGTGAGTGTGGAAAAGGCTTCACTGTGAAGCGCAAGCTCACTATACATCAGCGAATTCATACAGAAGGGAAATCGTATGTATGTGATGAATGTGGAAATGGTTTCACCACAAAGCACACTCTCATTATTCATCAGCGAAGTCACACAGGAGAAAAACCTTATGAGTGCAAGGAATGTGGGAAAGCCTTTACCAGAAGGTCAGGGCTCAATGTCCATCAAAGAACTCATACAGGAGAGAAACCCTATGGATGCAGCATTTGTGAGAAAGCCTTCTCCCAAGTGTCAAACCTTCTTAAACATAAGAAAATGCACACAAGAGAAATGAGTAGGTTCGGTCAAGTTGGAAATTCCTTTAATGGGGAGTCACAGCTCATTACTTACAAGTGAATTTATGCAGAATAAAACCCCTATTAATGCAATCTTTGTGGAAATGCCTTCTGTGGCAACCAAGACCTCATTAACATCAGTGTTTCTAGCAGATCAGAGTGCAAACACAGTACTGCCTGTTGTCTGATGTATGTCCTAAGGAAATTATGGAATTTGCCCATGATATAAACCTTGTGAATATACTGACTGTGGTAGTGTGTTTAGTGATTCTTACATAACATCTTCTCAGTGAAAATACGGTGGAAACACTCTGATACATGCAATGTGAAGATGCCTTTCCACCTTCATTATAATTCTCAGCAAAACTGTCTAGCTCCAATATATGTCTGAAAAATGGATACTGAGATGAATTCTGTGAATGCAGAGATGAAAAAAGTCTTCAGTGGGACAATAGACTTCATTAACAGGGATTGTCATAGATCATCAGTGAGTTCATTGTTCATAGAAATATGAAAACACAAGCAAACAAACAAACAAAAACCCAAAGGAATAGGGTAACCATGCAAAAGCCTTTACCCAGCCAGAAGACCTTGATTAGAGTCAGAGTTCACATTGGATAAAAACATTAAGAGGACAATATATATTTTACAGGATTTTATGGATAAATTCTATATTATTGTTAGGAAATACAGAAGTTAAAACTTTATGAAAATGCTGAATTTGGAGCACCTTTATTCAAATATTGGAGAAGTCACGAAGGAAGGAAAGAAGTTCTGTGAGAAGTGATACTGTTTGAGTGCTTTTTAAATAAGTCTAACTTTATTTTACATCAGATAATTCACCTGATTTGCATTTTCAGGTGATAACTGGAGCCTCATTTGTAGCTGCCTTGTCAGTAATCCCATAGTTTTAAAAAGTCATCTGCTTTTCTTATTCCCAATTAATTTTTATTGTTATATGCAATACAGGAGTGTTCCATGACCACCTCACACTATATGATTAGCTCTTATTCTTCTTTGCCTCTAAACTTAATTGTAAATTTATCATACAGAAATAGTTTAAGAGAAAACTGAGTATTTTAGATTTATAACACATATTTGTACTTGCTTAACTGAGTTTATAAGTATGATCAAATATTTTACAAGCCACCTTTAAAGTTATTTTTGTGAAATGTTTACTTTGAGATGATTTTAACTTACAAAATAATTCAGAGACTTCCCTAGTGTCTTTTGCCCAACATTTCCCAGTAAAAACATCTTATAAAACCGTATTTTATTGAATCCAGGAAAATGACTTTGGTAGTATACTGTTACAAAACTCCTAATCTTACTTGGGTTTCTTTAGATTTTACATGTATTTTTTTATGTTTGCAGTTCTAAATTTTATTACCTTATATACATTCATATAACCACAACCTCAACCATGACAGAAAATGGCTCAGTCAACAGACTGCCTCATGCTTCCTTTTTTAAGTTCAACCCTCTATCTAAACCTACCTCAGCAACCACTTTGCCTGTTTTCCATCGGTATAATTTTGTCATTTCATGAATGGTGTAAAAATCATTTTTATAACTGGATTTTATATAAATAAGATGTATTTATTTATACAAATTTATATTTTAATAGGGACCATGTAAGTTTTTCATGTTTTTGTCAGTTGACAAATTGCTTTTAAGAATTATTTGAGTTGAAATAATTCTATTTTTATTTGTGAATAGTATATATACTAGTTGAACCAGTTTGTTTAGTTATACACTTTTTTAATATTACATTTTATTGATTATACTATTACAGTTGTCCCAATATTTTTCTCTTTGCCCCCCCCCCAGACCTAGTACCCCCTACTCCCTCAGGCAATTCCCCACCATTGTTCACGTCCATGGGTCATGCGAATGAGTTCTTTGGCTACTCCATTTCATGTACTGTACTTACATCCCCATGGCTGTTCTGTAACTACCTATATGTACTTTGTCATACTCTCACACCTTCACCCATTCTTCCACAACCCCCCCCCCCAATCAGGCAAACATCAAAACCCTCTGCATATCCATGCTTCTGTCTCTGTTCTTGTTTGCTTAGTTTGTTTTTTAGATTCAATTATTGATAGGTATGTATTCATTACCATTTTATTGTTTGTTCATAGTTTGATCATCTTTTTCTTAAGTCCCTTTAGCATTTCATATAAGAGCATTCACTCTTTGAGATTTGTGTTTTCCTGGTTTCAGCTGTTATAAGTAATAATGTTACTATGAAATTTGCATACAGGTTTTTGTATGAATGTAAATTTTCATTCCTGTACAATAAATATGCAGGTGATGATTGTTGGGACATATGATCAATTATGTTTAGCTTTATAAGAAATTACCAAGCTCTCTTCTAGGATGGCTGTACTATTTACATTCTTACCAGCAGTGTGAGGTCTACTTGCTCTATATCCTCCCCAGCACTTAAATATTCAGTGTATTTTATTTTAGCTACTGAGGTCAGACTAGATAGAGCTGGTTCAGAGTGGTATGGTCATAAACAAGTGTATTTTATTTTAGCCATTCTACTAGCAACACATATGAGTTTTAATTGCTCTTCATTCTCCCCAGCACTTGGTATTATTATATTTTATATTAACCATTCTAATAGGTGTGTAGTAGTATATGATCTTAAGCTTAACTTGCATTTTCATAATGGCTAATGATGGGCAACAACTTATTATTTCTTTTTTTGTTGTTATGGTTTTTTTAAATTTACTTATCTTATAAGTGGAAGTTTGTATGTTTTAACCACCTTTACCCAGGATTGCTGGGTTGTATGGTAGACCTGTTTTTAAACTTTTTGAGGAATCTTTGTATAGTCTCATTCTATTTATGTCTGCATATTGTTCATGAAGAGACATCTCATGACTTATTTAACAAATTACCTGATATACATTCATATCTGTATTAGCTACCTTTGACTACATCACAAAACTACACATCCCTAAAACTTAATATCTAAAAACAATGTTTATTTATTTACTTATTTACTTACTTAGTGGGCTGAGGGTTGGATTTCCTGGTGTGGGCTGTCTCAACTGGGGCTGCGTGGTCTAGATGGGATTTTTCACATATTTGAGCCTCCATAAGAATGGATGGCTGCCATTCTGCAAGAGGATACCTGGGTTTCTATTGTTACAAGAGTTCAAGAAACAAACAGAACATGTCTCAATCAGAAAGTCAACTTCTGTCCTCTTGTGTCACACTTGCTATTATACCATTGGACACATTGGTCAGTCACTGTGGGGGATGTTACCCAAAAGTGTGAATACAGAGATGCTAGAATGGTTGATGTAGCAATCACAAGATTACTTTTTTTTACAATTATTAAAGTCTATGCTACCTGGCTGGCGTAGCTCAGTGGATTGAGTGTGGACTGCAAACCAAAGCATCGCAGGTTCAATTCCCAGTCAGGGCACATGCCTGGGTTGCAGGCCGGGTCCCCAGTGGGGGCCACATGAGAGGCAACCACACATTGATGTTTCTCTCTCTCCCTCCCTTCCCCTCTCTAAAAATAAGTAAATAAAATCTTTAAAAATAATCGGTGCTATGAATATCCTAGTACCTGTTTGTTCTCAAAGAGATAATTTTACTGAATCAATTATTTAAATTGATTGGTGGCTCAAAGGGAATAAAGTTTAAATTGGATAATTTCAACTTGTATACCCAAAACATTTTATTACTTTATATACTCTAGACTCAAATCTGCCCCATAAAAACACAACAAATGTAATGCATAATATTTATTAAATGTAATGTGTACTTTTTGAATTCAAAAACAAGCATGATAAAATCTCCATTTAAAGTTGTATGTGGTGAACAACACTATACAGGTGTGAAAAAATAAGACTTAAAGAGGTTATCATAACAGAATGCTATTATTCCATGACCTGCCACTCTAAATAATATCATTCAATCTTTATGAATTTTTAGGGTTAAAGTTTGTTTCATGTTTAATTTGTATGTATTTAAATATTAGTAAGACTGGCATTTAAAATTGTTTTATTTACAATTTTTAAAAATACATGGACTGTTTATCATTTAGCTATTAAAAATTTCGGTTCATCTTTTCTTATTCCCTTTAAAGCCACAATAATAATTGCTAGTGAGTATGTAGAGTACGGGAATCTCTGATATTGATGGTGGGAATTGAACATGATATGTTGACCCTGGAAAGTAGTTTGGCAATATCTCTTTCTCTATACCTATGTATCATACACACAGGCATTTCCTTTCCATTCCTTCCAGCCTTCCAATATACATGCCAAGTTCAGTTGGTCCATATGCACAGCCTACAATACAATGACTTTGCTGATACTATTGTAACCATACCCCACAGGTTAGACCCTCTGCTGTTCCCCTAACTAGGGCTAGTTAAACCTTAGCTATATGAACCTACCCTAATGTTTAAACTATGGAGCTCAGCAATATTGTGACCAGTTTGTGAGTCAATAACTTGTGACCTACTAGTCAACCAACGGTTTCTAAAGAACTAGAGAACATATTAATGCAATGTTTCTGGTTCCTCATAGAAAAGAAACAGCTACAGGGCAATAACTTACAAGCTTACTTTGTAAAAAGTAATAGAGACTGGAGACCACCCCGAGGCAGGTGACCTTAGATGGTGTCTAGAAGCTGTTCCTTGAGATACCAAGAGGCTGAATACCACAGGAACTTACCCTAACTCCCCCTCCCATTCCCCTTTTCCAGCTTAAAAACCCTTCAACTAGTTCCGCTATGGATTTGAGGCACTATTAAATCTCCCTTCTTTTTGGTCGGTGCCTCCTCAGTTAATAAACCTTACTCCAAACTCCTGATGTTTTGAGTTCGGTGACACTATTAGCAATTGGCACATGTAGTATAGCATGACTTACTCTCCTGTACACTGTCATATTTCCCAAATTTTAGGCCACTGGTCTCCTCTAGGGTCCAAAGGGAAAGCTCCACCAAGGGCCATCCTTCCCATTAGGTCTTCATCTTGCCTAGCTTTGACTAGTTTCTAGTGGCCTTTTCCCCATGACTCACTTACAGCTGCCACCCCTCTACCATCAGAGCTTCTCCAAACCACATTCTCTGTTCAAAAGTCCCTCCCAGCCAGTTTCAGCCAGAAACTCAGCTCAGATTCTCAAGAATGAGTTCATGTAGTAGGGACACCTACACTCCCT